GAATAGTTTCTTTCCTAGTACTCGGGTGTTGGGTGCTGTGTGATCAGTTGGCCTTGTGCTTTTGGCGTGTTCTAAATTTCGAGGACGAAATTCTTTAAGGGGGGGAGGTTATAGCGATCCCGGTATTCCCTATTGTTGTTTAACTGTAATCCAGACTCGGTTCCGTAGATTCGTTGTTGTCTTATCCTCATTTCTATCCCTTACTCTTTGTGTTAGAGTTTTGGATTGTGTTGGGCAAGTTGGGAATAAGTTGGTTGTGTTTTAAAACTTAGAATTTTTGCCCAGGCTTTGGTCCCTCCGCTCGAGTGGCGATTTGACGCTCGAGCGGGCTTTTGTTGTTGCCTCTCCGCTTGAGCAGGAGTTTGGACGCTCGAGCGTGAATTTCCTTCTCTCAGCATTTTGGATGTCTGCAGAAAATTCTGGGAGAGTGCATTCGGTGCTTGAGCGGATCTTTGGACGCTCGAGCGTGAACCTGTGTCTGACGCTCGAGCGGGGTGTTGTACGCTCGAGCGGACCTGTTTTTATATCAGTCCGTGAAATCACTTTTTTGATCACTTTTTGATTTCCTTTCTCTCTCTTACTTTTTCAAAACCTCCATTGAAGAGCACCTCACTCTAAAACCCTAACTTCTCTCTTAGGTTTGATCTAGTAGGAGTTGTTTTCTCACCTTGGGCCTTTACAAAAGTTGTGTTGATCGTAGAGGGCTATCTTTTAATCTGAAAATTTCGGGATTTGGAGCATTTCCGTTTCTTCATCTCCTTCGTTGAGCCCCATCATTCGAGGTAGGGATATCCTACTCCTCTTTATGAGCTTTGTCTTTGAATTTTAGCATTTTGATATGTCGGGGGTTGTTGGGTAATTTTGAAAAAGGTTTGGGCCTTTGTGCAATTTTACAAAAGTTGGGGATTAAACATATAAACCTATATGCATGTTAGGCATAGAGAAATGAGATTAATGTTGGGACATAGATGGAAATAGAACCTTAGGGTTGTTTTGTGAATTATGGTAATTTGCCCTAATTGGTTTAATGTGGCGTAAAATAGCATGTTGTTGTTGAAATATAGAAAAGCCCTAATTTATATGTGTCATGATAAATTAAAAGAGGGGTTTTGTTCTTTAGGCAAATACTTGTGTATTTTGGGTCTCAAATGAGGTCTTTGTTGTTTATTGTTGATGATTGAACCTTTTTGGTCAATGTTGAGAAAGAGGGAGAAAAACCCTAACTTAATAATTATGACTTAATTTGCATAATAAATTTGAAAGGTTATGAAAGGAATGAAATTGATTTTGGAGAAATGAGAAAAGTGTTTTTGGAATAAGTGGTGGAACATGTTGATTTGGAAAAATTATGAAGGTTGATTTTGAAAGTGAAGAATGAAACTTTAACTCTATGTGAGTCATAGAAAATAATTATGGGAATTGGATTGTTGTATCATGCATGTCGAGTGCACATATTTGGGGAAATTAATTTGTAGCTACTATGCTTGGGTTGTTGATGGGTTTGGGATCTCATGATAATTGAGTCTGTTAATAGATGTACAATATACATGCATCTAGAGGTTTTGTCCTTGGTCATCGGTGGAGGATGACGTGGTTGTGTTGAATTGTCGTGTATGCATTATACCATTATTGATTGAATGTCGTTTGTGATAAAGTGTTGAGATACATTATATATGTATGCTTGCTCGGGAGGAGGTAGTTATGTGTTCATATACTTTAACACATCGCTTGCATCTTGATGGTTTGTGTATATGTGTTACACATGTTGGTTATGCCCTGTTGCATTTCGATTGGTGGTGTAATACCTTGCGCTAAGAATCAGAGGTACCGTGACCTTCCAGCTAGCGCCTGGAGAACTGACTGCGCTGAGAATATAAGGCACCATACCCTTCCAGCTAGCGCCTGGTAAACTGGCATGTTGTTGTGATAGGTGTATCTTTGGCTTACTACGCACATAGCTAGTAGAGCAAAGTTTTGTTGTTGATATTTCAGTCTGTCTGGGAATATCATGGATTGTGTCAGTTACAGTTTTAGGGGGGGCCGAGTTGCCTCATTGTTTTTATTTTATGCATGTTGGTGAGTTGTTATCTCCCTTTTTATAACGGTTCATGCATAGATTTGATTGTATCGGGAAGAAGCCAAAATGTCATCTTTGTCTTTTGGAAAGTGTGAAGGAGAACGGATTTTTTTTAAGAAAATATATATTTTGAAAAGGCATATCTGTGTATGTTTGGAGAATGAAAGAGAGTAGTGGGCTTAGTGAAATTATCTCCTAAGGTATTGTTAATGTTATGAAAGATTGGGAACGGGGATTAATGGAAGGAAAATGGGAAGATGAATCGCCTATGGCGTTGATTGAAATGGTTGTTTTTGAGAAAAGTGCAAAATTATGTATATTTTGTGTAAACTGTCGCATTACTATTCTAGTATGAGATTGAGCATTCATGATCATAGCTATTTGTATGTTGTTATTGTTGAGGGCCATGTTGAGATCCCTACTGGACTATATGTTCATCCCACGTTGTTGAATCTTTTTCAGGTGTTTAGCAGGATGTGCTACAAGATTTGGATCTTCTTATTTGTTGGCCACGGGGCCTCTTTGTTGTAGGCGGAATGCCATATATGAAAAAGGGTTGTACCCTTCATTTGATTATTTAATGTTGTAAGCCTGAGGGCAACTTATTCAGAATACTCATGTTGTATTTAATTAGCATTCGAAAGAGAGAGTTGATGTTCACTCCTTTTAGTTGAACATTTGAGTTTATTTCCGCATGTTATCTCTGAAATTGAATTAAGTTAATGAACTTGGTAATGACTTCGAGTAATAAAAAGTGGGGCGTGACATCAGTGGTCTGGTACATAATCTGTTAGGATGTCTGGTTCATAATCTGTTCTATTTTGGCCAAATTCAAACAATTTGAAAATACATTAGTCTACATTGTACTTTGCAACTTTACTACTTAAATATGTTCCATCTTAATCTATGTTATATACTTGGAGAACTAAGGAAAGATTAGAGATAGACAACGTCATATGATTTTCTTTGTATGATACACATTGTGCATTCCTAAATGGAATAGGTTAATAGTACACATGATGCATTTTATGACATAAACAAATTAAAAAAAACTTGATCTTTCATTTGTGATCAGACATGGACAAGAGTTGGATTGCATTGGGTAAGACACTTGATGAAAGGATGAGTCAGCCATTTATTGATGGGGTGACATCATTTATCAAATTTGCAATGGCAGTTGTTAACCAGGAAGGTAAAATTCCGTGCCCATGTTTGAACTGTGTGAACTATTATTCCCAAAATCTTCGAAATGTGCAAATTCATTTGCTTCAATATGGGATTATGCAAACGTACACTATTTGGCATGAGCACAGGGAACCACGTATATCAAATGAGGCTCATCATGAAATAGCAATTGATGAAGATGAGGTTTTAGGTGGTATTGATGCCTTAGTGGAAGATCGAATAAGAGGAGAACCCAACGATGCACCCCAGAATGAGGAAGTACAAACGTTTGATAAACTATTGAATGATGCCAAACATGAGGTGTACTTAGGTTGCACAAACTACACTCTGTTGAAGTTTGTCATCGAGCTGCTTAATATGAAGGTAACAAACCACTGGAGCAATAAGTCGGTTAACACACTATTGGAGTTTTTAACAAAACTTTTACCAAAAGATAATTTGGTTCCAAAGTCATTTTATGAAGCTAAGAAAATACTTCGAGATTTGGGCTTGTCATATGAGTTAATTGATGCTTGTATAAATGATTGTGTAATCTTTTGGAAGGAAAATGCAAGGTTAGATAAATGTCCAAAATGTAAGGCATCCAGATACAAGATCAATCGTGGCAGGGGTAAGAAGATTCCCCATAAGGTGTTGCGGTACTTCCCATTAACACCAAGGTTGAAAAGATTGTACATGTCAAGAAAGACTGCTGAGGACATGAAGATGGCAGTGACACTGAATCCTATGATTCGTTTGAGCATGAGGTACTATACATTTATGCATTGTGAAATATATTCTTTCTTGTTACTTTCAATTCATACACACATAGACATGTATATCTTTGTACATATATTCATATTTTATTATGTTATTCAGCTGTTACAGATACCATCGAGAGCCCATTCACAATCTCATTATGAGGCATTAACCCACGCATTAGAAGAGGGGGATACCTCTTCATGTCCTGAGGTGACTAACAATCCGCCACCACCTCTCAATGTGGAGCCTCAACTTGAGGTGACTGCTGGTAATACTATTGGTAAGACACACTCTTTATTTACATTGATTTGAGATCTTAATTAAATTTGTTCACATACTATTTCAATATTATGGCTTCACAATATCAGCTGCTAAGCGTGCTCGTGGCCCGACTCGAGGCAAAGAGGTTCAAGGCCTTGTTGATAGAGATGGAAAGCTTAGGGTGCCTATCCCTCCAGAATTTCGTGCACCGGTAGGGGACTATGCCTCAAAACTAGCCTCAAAGATTGGTGTAGAAGTGCGAACTCGTTTACCAGATCCAAGTGTTCGTAGGTGGAAGTATGTTGATGCCTTTGTTAAGGAGGCGATGTTTCAACGCTTGAATGTAAGTTCGTTGTCTACTTATAGGAGATTTTATTCATTTTTATAATAGGTTAGAAATCTTAATTATTTATTGCAATTATTTTATTTTTTATAAGAATTATCTATGACTTATCTATTTTTTGCAGGATCAATTTGATTTACAAGGAGACCTTGTTGATATAGAGAAGGCAATGAACACAAAATTTGGTCGGAGATTGAGTAACCATACCTATAGGCTGCACAAACAATTCATGAAGCTGAAGGAGCCTAAAGGGGAGGAGTATGCAAGAAACCACCCACCAAAGAATGTCGATCCTACCAAGTGGATAGATCTTATTGATAAAAAGTGGAACACCTATGACTTATCTATTTTTTGCAGGATCAATTTGATTTACAAGGAGACCCTGTTGATATAGAGAAGGCAATGAACACCAAATTTGGTCGGAGATTGAGTAACCATACCTATAGGCTGCACAAACAATTCATGGAGCTGAAGGAGGCTAAAGGGGAGGAGTATGCAAGAAACCACCCACCAAAGAATGTCGATCCTACCAAGTGGATAGATCTTATTGATAAAAAGTGGAACACTAAAGAATTTCTGGTAACATTTTCATCTTTTTTATTATATTAGCGAAGAAAGAATTTGATTAGAATAGGGAGAGATTCTAAAACAACTTGAAAGAACACAATCAATTTGCTGTGAAATTCCATATGTATTCTTTTCCGTTTATCTTCTAGGCATGTAAGTGGAACATAATAAAAACCAAATAAGTGGAAAAATGAGAAAGGAAAACTATTAAACATGGATTGGAAGGCTCGCATAATAGGAGATTAATTTATGGTTCCTTAAAGTGCATCTTTCACATCATAGAACAAAGAACTAAGATTTCAGTTTCTATGATTGTATCAATTTTCTGTTTGTTCTTGGGTTTGGTCTGAAGTTTCATGATAATGGTAAGCAACTAGCTAAGTAACTAATATAGGGTATTAAGACAGAACTTTAGATTTGATAGAGTTGCGGAAGAAAGAAAGGGTTATGAGTTTGGTATCAGTAATTGTTCCATATCTTGTGAAATGTAAATGGATATTTTCGCAATCTATCTTGCCCATGCTTATATGCCCCCTATTTGTGAACGGTGTAAATTACTCGTTTTTCTTTTTTCACCCAGAAAAACCATCTTATGATCAAATCTCAATAAGTTCTCTAATCTATTTTTCAAAGAATTGAATGAAACTAGTGAATAATTTGAAATATCTTTTAAGTCGAAATGATATATAAGAATATGATAGAGAGGAACAATGCAATTTCTTTATTATCAAGCTTTAAATTTGTTTTACTAGTGACACATTTCATTGTTATATTGGTCATTCTTCCTTATAGGAACAATCAAAAGCCAACATATTTGTCTTACTAATGATACATTTCATTGTTATATTGGTCATTCTTCCTTATAGGAACAATCAAAAGCCAACATATTTGTCTTACTAATGATACATTTCATTGTTATATTGGTCATTCTTCCTTATAGGAACAATCAAAAGCCAACATATTTGTCTTACTAATGATACATTTCATTGTTATATTGGTCATTCTTCCTTATAGGAACAATCAAAAGCCAACATATTTGTCTTACTAATGATACATTTCATTGTTATATTGGTCATTCTTCCTTATAGGAACAATCAAAAGCCAACATATTTGTCTTACTAATGATACATTTCATTGTTATATTGGTCATTCTTCCTTATAGGAACAATCAAAAGCCAACATATTTGTCTTACTAATGATACATTTCATTGTTATATTGGTCATTCTTCCTTATAGGAACAATCAAAAGCCAACATATTTGTCTTACTAATGATACATTTCATTGTTATATTGGTCATTCTTCCTTATAGGAACAATCAAAAGCCAACATATTTGTCTTACTAATGATACATTTCATTGTTATATTGGTCATTCTTCCTTATAGGAACAATCAAAAGCCAACATATTTGTCTTACTAATGATACATTTCATTGTTATATTGGTCATTCTTCCTTATAGGAACAATCAAAAGCCAACATATTTGTCTTACTAATGATACATTTCATTGTTATATTGGTCATTCTTCCTTATAGGAACAATCAAAAGCCAACATATTTGTCTTACTAATGATACATTTCATTGTTATATTGGTCATTCTTCCTTATAGGAACAATCAAAAGCCAACATATTTGTCTTACTAATGATACATTTCATTGTTATATTGGTCATTCTTCCTTATAGGAACAATCAAAAGCCAACATATTTGTCTTACTAATGATACATTTCATTGTTATATTGGTCATTCTTCCTTATAGGAACAATCAAAGGCCAACATCGCGAACAGAGAAAGGATGTATACAAAACATAGGTGTGGTTCTAGGTCAATCCCTGTTAGAGTAGAAAAACTGGTACGTATCCTTGCACTTTCAGAATTATATTAGATTCTTAGCTTTATTTATTGAATATTTGG